CCTCCCTGGCCATCAGCTCAATGCTTCCCTGCACGCAGCTAATAAAATACTGTTCTAGGATAATTTACACCGAATTTAAAAAACTACACCATGTCACCTTATTTTCCTGTTAAAGTTTTATGTGTAAGCAATAATGACACAATAACGTATATGTTTTTTTCAGTTTGGATATAGTGTGGAACAATTTGAACCCGTCGGTTGTTTTTATTTCTTCACTCTATTGCTGCGCATGACCACTGTACAAAGTGATAGGAACTCCACAGTTTCTCGGAACAGGAGGTAAGGGGGTATCTTCCAATAAGGACACCTCTCCTGGTGACACCTAATGTGGGGATTTCTTCACTGTGGAGGAATATAATTGTTCTACAATAGTAAATAAAGCTAATTGTGAGAAGGTGGTCAGATTTAGACAGAATCTGGGACGCAACTAATGGCCATCCCTTTGCATCCTTTTCGTACTAGCAGCTCTGGGAGTGCAAATTGTTTGCAACGTGACACCTTTAGTCTCCTTTCGTCCCCAAATTACGAGATCATCCTTCCACATCTTTATCGTTACCTCTATCACCATCACTCTTCATTAAGATCGCAGCACCTCTAACTTCCCTTTAGATGGCGCAGTTACATCTCTCGCCACAAGAGAATAACATTATATTCTATCTTGTCTGCAAGCGCCATTTTGTCGAAGACCTAAACGTGACCGCAAGCGGTTCACGCCATAGCAAGCAATATAACTTGATAAAGATAGAGCTGCCTCTCCAGCTTCGGATAATCATAGTACAAAACTCACAGAACGGAATTACTTTTATACATTCAACAGTCATTTTTTTAACGCGTTCCTGTATCCGTGTAATCCCGCTCAGTCGCTGTATGAAGCTCTGTATTGGGCGTGGCTTGGTTATTTGGCGGCAGTGCAGTCAAGATCCGTGCATGGCATGCAGCGGGAGGTGGGCAGCTTTCCCATCGCGCCATCAATCAGAGCAAGATTGGTTGCTGCGGGCTTCCATACACTGCAGGATGTGATTCACCTGTCAGTCAGTGAAGTAGCTAGAGGTAAATGGCGCTGCATATGCAATGGCGGAGCTGTTCTTCATTGCTTGAGCAGTCGAAAGGTGATCATACACTATACAATCTGATTGCACAAACTTTTTTTTAGATTTACCATCACCCTTGTAGTGCAAGGACGTGTCTAATTTGATAATCATTGAACAGGTTGTTTAGTTATGTTTTCCTGTTATATAGCTTTGGTAAATGTAAAGGAGATAGTACAATCAGAGTGTATAGTGTGTGGCCAGTTTAATAGCCCCATTATGAAATAACTGTGTCTGTCCTCTGTGTGCCATGAAGCGCCTTCAATATCAACACTAGGCTAGGTTTAGATGTGGCCGATTGTAAACAGTAATTTCTGCGTGGCCCCATTGATTTCAATGTGGTTACATTCGCACGGCAATTGTTAAAAAAAGGTGCAAATACCTTTTTGTTTTTTGACAACCGACACGCTGCTTTTTTTTTTTAGCCACGATCGTGTTTAATTGCACTGGTGGTATCGTGGCAGGAAACTGTGTGATCTGGGGTGCCATTAGAAAATAATGGCACCACCAGCGCGATCGGCAGTCGCTTCTCGGGCCTTTTGGCTAAGATCAAGTGTAGTATCTGTTCTTATTGGTTGCCAGAGGGGAAAGGACACGGTCGCCTATGTAGAAAGGTGGACCGTGGCTTAGTACCTTCTGGTGTAATTGGTGGGTGTCGGATGGGGTACAGTCCCTCCCAGATAGATTCTGGTCTGGTGATGCTGGACTTGTCCCCGTGGTAGGGCTGGCACTACCTTCGGATGGGAATGGGTGCGAAGTTTGGTCTGGCTGAAGGGTTGGGAGGCGGCAGAGCCCGTGGTGTTGTACCCCCAGGGGTGCTCAGAAAGTCACTTGGGTGTGGGACCCCACTTTGACTCACTGATGCACATGGACACACACCATATTGCATATTCTGCACAACGCCTCCGGGACACTTAATATTTAATGCACAATTGGCTTTTTTTTTTTTAAGCGTTTTTTGACCCACGGATGACTGAGGGTGCAGGTACCTTCGGGGCCTTTTCCCAACGTTGGGGAGGAGATTCTGTGCCCTTATATAGGGTTCTCTGTCTCCTCCCGCCTCTGGGGGTTTCTCTTCGGGAGATCCCCCAACCTAGTACTTGTGGGACCTGCTTCGGCAGGTCCCGAAGGATCGGGGTCCACTGGCCTTCGGGTTGGTGGACCATAGTCGTCCCAGCCCCTGTCAGGAGCCTTGCGCCCCGGGGGGTCGGTAAAAGAGTGGTCCCTTCTTGATTGAAGGACCCAGCATCCTTGTGCATGTTTTTGTGTGCTGTGATTTCACTGTTTTTGTTCACAGGGGATTTGTTTTTCGATGCACGTTCCACGGGCTCAAAAAAGTGGTGGGCGTTTTAGTGAAACATGCGGTTTTGTGCAGGACTGCTGCACGGTCGGTGTGAACCTAGCCTCAGTTTATTAGTTCATGTTGTAACTTTTGTCACCAGAGAAAGATGGGGGGTTGCCTTTGCTGATCTTCATTTGAAAATGCTAATTACTTGGTTGTCAACACCCCCTTCCTGTTCAGGCCATTTTTCATTATTCAGCGCTGCAATACTTTGACATTTATTCCGTCATGCAACGCTGTACTGAAATTAATTTTATACCATTTTTTGGGGACAGATAGAGCTTTCTTTTGGGGGTATTATTATATAGAGAGAAAAAATGCAAACAATTTTGGAAAAAAAAAATCTGTTTTCCCTACTTTGTTATGAAACATTTATTATTGCCCAATTTTTTTTAATAAAATATGGTGTCACGTTGGGTAAATAGATACCAAATATGTCAAGCCTTAAAATTGCACGCACCCGTGAAATCGCAAAAAATGACCGTACCCAAAATTGGCCATAGGGGATGCTTTTACCGCTCATCAGTTTAGTGTTAACAGTGATTGATGGCCAAAGAATTATTGCTCGCACTCTGGCGTTTATGGTGATATGCAACGTGTGGCACAATCGTCGCTTACACACGCAGGCGCACCCAACGCGTGTCTACCTTTGTATGTACATGAGGGTGGGGGACTTAAAATAAAAAAAACACAAAAAATGTTTTGTATGCGAGTTTAATTTTCAATCTTACTTTTTTTTACACTTTATTGCTATCACCAATAAGCTCCCTCTGTGATAGCATATACACAGTGACAGATCCTGTTTATGGAGACATCAGAGGTCTATTAGACCCCGAATGTCACCTAGGGACCTCCAAAGAAGCTGATGAAGCAAAGATCTGCTTCACCAGCTTCTTTTGTTACAGCAGCCAGAGAGATGACAGCCTGAAATCGGAATCAATTTTAACCACTTCAGGACCAGGACATGTGTGTGTGTGTGTGTGTGTATGTATGTATATATACCCTGTTTCCCCGAAAGTAAGACCTACCCCAAAAATAAGACCTAGTACTATTTTTGGGAATTGCTAAAATATAAGAACTACCCCAAAAATAAGACCTACTTGTGGCCATTCCCAGGGCCAGTGGTGGCATAAGGGGGAACTTGAAGAGCCGCGGGAGAGGCAGGAGAGAATCAGCGGTGCCAATGAAGCCGGCGCTAAAGGAAGCGAGGCGGCATCGGAGGGAGCAGAGCCGCATAAGCCGATGCCTCATCTATAGCGCCGGCTCCTGTCACAGGCGGAGTGATACCAAATGCACTCCGCCTGTGAGGAATCGATAGTGAAAGTGCGCTTCGCTCATTCTAGCCAGATATTGGTTAGCAAATTGCTCTTGGAAAGGTACGGCACCCCTGATTGCCCTGATCAACATATTATTGTACATGAATACATGTAGACTGTTGTACTTGAATAAGTGTGGCTTGTTGTACATTAAAAAAATTAAAAAAAATAAGACCTACCCCGAAAATAAGACCTAGTGTGTTTTTTTGAGCCAAAAAAAATATAAGACAGTGTCTTATTTTCGGGGAAACACGGTAGATATATACACACAGTATGTACAGCACTGCATGTACGTCTCTGCACTTGTATTCCTCTGAAACTACAAGCCCCTCTTCCACGATGGCAGATGGGACTTGTAGTTCCTCCTTCCTGTGGATGGATGACAAAAAAAAAAGGCAGCCTGCGGGGAGAAGAACCCTGCAATTCAGGTAAATTGGGTGGGGGAGGTTGCAATCTGACAATGTTTCATGTTACACCCTAAATATAGGTGTAACATGGTCAGAAAGGTGAACCTAGCCTTTAAATACATCAAATGATGAGGATGTGGTTAGGTCAGGATCAGGCCGACAACAGGAGGTACCAAATTAGTGGACAGAAAGCAAGGTCAGGATCAGGCCGACAACAGGAGGTACCAAATTAGCAGACAGTAAGCGAGGTCAGGAGACCAAGACAGTGTCAGCAAACAAAGGCAGAGATGCGAAAGCAGGTTAAGAGGCAGGCCAGGTCGATAGCAGGAGATCAGAAACACAGTCCGTTTGCAGGTCACAGGAATAGCTGAGGACACTTAGCACCTTCTCCAGCTAGCTGGGGTCTAAATAAGCTGAGTGGTGCCAATGCTAGTGCTTGATGTGCGTGCAGAGTTGAGACCCTAAGTGCCAGGCCCCATACTACGTTATGTGCGTGTGCTTGCACTGATTGTTGTGTATGGTGACAGACTTGATGTTCATTACAGGCATATTCTCACAACTTTATTTTAGTGCTGCAACAACTAATTGACATAATCGATTATTGAAAAAGTTGTCAACTTTTTCAATAATCGATTAATCGGCTTCTGATCAATTACTTGTACATATTGGTATAAAGGCCAACCTCACAGGACACAAAATGTCCTGTTATGCACACTGGATTCTTTACGACACTGTACAGTTATAACAGAACAATCTAGTTAAAAGTACAGGATTTATGGTACTGAATATTCCACTTCACTTCAAAGGTGTCTGCTTTATTGCTTGTCTTGATACTGAAATGATTGTATGAAATATACCATGCTGTCTTTAAACTACCTTTCTTGTTTTGGGCAACAGAAGCTGGCATATCTGAAGAAGCGGCACAGGAAGCACTGCAGATTTTGAAAAGACTAGGTCAAGGCAATGATTCACAGATACTAAAACATACAGCTTTGGAGCTGCTTGAGCAGGAGCAAGCTCAAGGATGTATCATCACATTCTGCTCAGCTTTGGATGAAATCCTTGGGGGAGGAGTGTCTCTAGGAAAGATCACTGAGATTTGTGGGCCCCCTGGTGTGGGGAAGACACAGCTATGGTAAAGGAGCTCTTTATGTCACACTGGTTGCAAGCTGTAGAGATTGTCCTAACTGTGTCCATAGAACTGTGTTCATTCACAGCACATCTGGATTTCCCCTTTCTTCAATGGGAAATTAGGTCTCAGTAACTTTTACCATACTTATAATAATATTTTATTTTTTTATCAGTGATTTGCCACTGATGCCTGGAACCTCCCAATGTCTACACATGTTGGATCCCCTTCAAAGAAGTAAATAATTGTTCAGCTTTAATCCTGTACGCCTGCCTTTGGTTCCCCTTTTAGATTAGACCAATCTGCTGGGTGAATGCAGGCAGATCCAGGCTCCACATGTATATCTACCGTGTTTCCCCGACAATAAGACCTAGTGCTAACTTCAGGGATTTCTGTAATATAAGACCTACCCCGACAATAAGACCTAGTTCAGCGGTAGGGGGCGCACATGTATTGCTGCATCCAAGCAGCCAGCAAGGGGTCTGAGTGTAAAAATCAATGATATGTGCAGCTTGTCTCCTGTCTGCATGTACGGTCTAATAAAATGTCACGATCGCAAAAAACTTTCTGGCTTCAGCTCCCTCCCTCCCGCTGGCCCGTCTGCCCGCCCGTCTGCATGTACGGTCTAAAAATAAGTCAAGATTGTAAACAACTTTCTGGCCGCAGCTCCCTCCCTCCGGCCCGCCTGCAAGCCATTCCGCCCGACTGCCTCGGCTTTTAGGATGCCTGGACGGCATCACAGAGCTCCAGACAGCTGCAGCCAGGTACAGTATTGTGACACTGTGTGGCAGTCGCAGTACCATTCTTTCACTCCCATTCTCCAGTACTGTATGATACAGTACATTACATACCGGTATCTCTGCTCTGCGTGACAGTCACAGTCCGGATTTCTGTACATAGAAAGGGTTCCCAGTCCTGATTTCTGTACATACCGTTTTTCCCCGAAAATAAGACCTAGTGTGTTTTTTTGGGGAAAAAAAATATATAAGACAGTGTCTTATTTTCGGGGAAACACGGTAGATATGTCTGCCCCATAGTGTAGTTGTAATACAAGATAAACAGATGCTGCCTTCAACAACAAAGACAGCTCAAGTTCCAGAAGTCAAATAGATTGGGTGCTTGAGAAATGGCACCTTAGTTTTAGGCCTTTTTTTCTGCTCTCATTGGCAGAACCTGTTCCCAAGCTGTTGAAAAACAACCTCTGTTCACTATATTGGATGCACAATGTTTAAATTATTTCTTTTTCCCTAGTTTTAACCATTTTCTCTATCACTCTAACCGATATGGCTGAGTTGAATTTTTAGAATTGAGGACAATTTTTTTTTTTCTGCTGGTTTACTTACGCTTTAAAGACGAACTCAGTGAAGGAGAAAACTTAACCCTTGCAGTGGGAGTCCCCCCTCCCCCCGCACTGCAAGGGATAAGTGCTAATTTTTGTCTAGAGTCTAAAATAACAATGAAATACTCAATTGAACCCTGCTCCCGTATGGCTGTTAGACTGGCCCCTGGAGCCTCTTTTCCCCTTCACTCTGGCAGCCTAAGGTACTGAGTCATCATTTCCAGTACAGTGTATTGGACGTGAGGACACTAAGTGACATTCCATTACAGGAGTGGAGGGGGAAAGAGGCTGCAGGGGCAGTTTTAGCAGCCAGGTGGGTCCGAGGTTCGGGTGAGTATTTCTTTGTTAGTTTGGACTGTATATGTAAACAAGCACTTAACCCTTGCAGTGTAGGAGGAGTCCCACTGCAAGGGTTACGTTTTCTTCTACTCGGAGTCTTTCTTTAAAATAAAGTCTGTTCAGAATTACCTGAACAAGTGTATTATTTTTACTGTTGCTTAACTGTGTTTTCTTCAGCTACTTTGTATAGCCATATGCAGGTTGGGGAGTGCTAGCTGCTAGGTTTTTTTTTAAGCAGGCTCCTATCTCTGGGTGACTATTCAGGCCTGATATACACCAATACTGTTATATTTTTTATTTAGTATTGTGAGATCAACTTTGTTTACATATATTCAACTATATTGTGTGGTGTCGTTTTTTGTTGTTTTTCTAACAGTATGCAGCTGGCAGTAGATGTGCAGATACCAGAGTGCTTTGGAGGCAGTGATGGCGAAACTGTTTACATTGATACTGAGAGCAGCTTCAGAGTGGAAAGACTGGTGGATATTGCAAATGCTTGTGTTGTGCACTGTAGTCTTATTACTCAAGCCCACCAAGAAGAAGGTGCGTATGTAATTTAATTTGCTTTTGTTGCAGTATTCCCTGATTTTTATCCTCACCCATGTTCAGGGTATAAAATTAACCCCTTCATGACTGAGGCCCTTTTTTCAATTTTTGCACCCATGTTATATTCCACATTTTAGGCCTGAAAATGACGTAAAACCCCCCAACAGACTGTGCGGCAATCATGCACGAAACCACACGGTCACGGAATCGCACACCACCACTGATCGTGCTAGTGGTGATATTCTTTTACCAATGGCACACCTGTCGCTGAAAAAAACGCAATATTCTCAGCAATTGCGTTATATATAATCCTATTGAAATCAATGGCGCCACGTGGCAACCGCTGTGTGCAATTGCACACGATCACACGGTTCCGGACACACGTCCCGGGATCACGCAAGTCTGGTACAGACATGAACAGGAGGAAGAATGTGCGTGATCCAGAGCATTGCATCATCATTGCATCTGATCCATTGATCACGATTGCAATTCTTTGCTGGCTTCATTGCAAAAAAAAAAATGCAAATTGTTTTCTTTAATGAGTGTGCATTTATTTATTTTTTAAAAGTGTACTTTAACTTTAAAAGGTGTCTGCAGCAGCCAGGAGTCCTGGCAGCCGCCCTTCCCTGCCGTACACACACTTACACACACACTTTGCATATGTGCAGGAGTTTCCGGTCATAAAAACCTGTTTACTGCTGCTCTCTCCATGTGCATGGTAACTGGTCTCATATCTGCCCCCTGTAGTTTTCTGCAGGCAGTCTATAATGGGTGGGGTTGCTGGCTCTCTGCACTCAGGCCTGGCGGTAGCGCAAGGCAAGTAAGGCGGGCGCCTTACGGCGCTGCAGGGTGAGGGCGGAAAAAACAGGGCATTTTGACAAGTACTTGTACTTGTCAAAATGCCCCGATGTTTGCGCTATGTTTTTTTTTCCCACTTACCTTCGGTGCGGAGAGCAGCGGCGAGTCAGCGCTGGTCCGGTGGGAGGAGCTCCAGGTGGGGTCCTAATTTAGCTGGCCAGCGACTGCCTGAGGATCCCGACACGCGCGGCACCTCAGGCAGTCGCCGGCCAGCTAAATTAGGACCCCACCTGGAGCTCCTCCCACCAGACCAGCGCAGCGCTGATTTGCCGCTGCTCTCCCGCACCGAAGGTAAGTGAAAAAAAAAACCCCATAGCGCAAACATCGGGGCATTTTGACAAGTACCAGGGGGAGGGGATGGGGCGCAAAATTGCACCTTGCCCTGCTTGACTAAAATCCTAGCACCAGCCCTGTCTGCACTGGCTATGTTTTCACCCTTACCTATACATGGTAATATTTGGATTTGAAAAGTATTTGCTGCATATTGGTTTATATCCTTTGTGGCTATGATGGAATGTATTTGAATGACAGTTAATTTTGATCTCTTGGAGGACCTTCTATATTTCTTCCAACTGCTCTCTTCTGCTGATAAGCGGATAACCAGATTATTGTATACAAACATTAGACCGTCTAATAAGTTATTCTCCTTTTATCACTATCTCTGTATGTTGATATTGCAAGAATATTATGCTGAATTGTAGGTAGTTTACCTGTAAAAATGTTTCTGTTGCCTATAAATCCTTTAGAAACTAGTCATATTAAATCAAATGCATTTATAGTGAAAGCAAGGTTGTATGCATGCTTATTAGCTGTGGAGTAATATTTGGTTAACTTTTGTCCTAAATAATGCTCTATCTTTTATCATTTATTTTTCAGGTCACAGACTAGCTATGCAAAGATTTACCGTTAATAACATCCTTTCACAGATTTATTACTTTTGTTGTCAAGACTACATTGAGCTACTAGCCCATATACATACCCTGTCAGACTTCCTAGCACAGCATTCAAAGGTTAGTAAGTTTATTTTATTGAAATCCTGTACTAAAATATCCACTCTATATTATATCCTGTAAGCAAGTGCTTAGACACTGATGCAAACAAAAGGTTTAAGTTTTTTGTTTTCTTTCTCTTTCATTGAGAATTGGGTTAAACTGTCACCTACTGGAACATTTGGACACTGGCAAACAAAACAACATGACCTTTTGGGTATAATCCCTCCCACTCCCAGCATGCCTTAGTTGTTTCTAATGTCCCAGGAAGATGGATGCCTTTTCTCAGCTGTGAAGAATTTAACCATATTGCTAGCCATTTTTTCTTCAGAATTATTTATTTTCCTCAATCTGGATTTCATCTTCAATTTGCTTGAGTTTGTCTCTTTATGCAGATTGGCATATCTTCAGCAGTAACTTTGTAGGCTGTATCTGGACCCCCTCTGCCTCTAAGGCAAAACCCAAGCCAGGAGCCCAGTTTCACCGCAAGCAGTGGGCCCACAAACCTGCAGAAAAGTCTTCTTCGGCTTGAAGGGGCACCGCTATTTTTTTAGAATAAGGGGACATCTCTTAGACTTTGGAAATATCTGGACGGACAGTATGTTAGATGTATGGGTAAGGGTGGTGGTTTCAACTGGCTTTAAACTAGAGTTCCATTTCCCATAACGTCTTCCAGGACAGACCTAACTCTGAATTTCCTACCTTCTCCTCACTTCATGTCCTCTAATTTGTGTTAGCACTTAAGTCAGAAGACCTCCATGTAGCGCTTGTGGGTTTTCTGGAGCAAAGGGTTTTCACCTCAGCTCCTGTATCAGAAAGGTTTCAGGTACTCTATTCCAACCTTTTCATAGTTCCAAAGCCAAGTGGTGGCATCCTGTGGTGTTGATAAGTAGATATACCTTTTTTTTTTTGTGTGTGTTATATAGGTAACCATTAGAAATATGGAGATCCTAGAAACAGTGATACGATTTGTGTACTTGCCACAAAATCTTTTCTTTTTTTCAAGTTCATTGAGGGACTCAGGAATTCTAAAACACTCAGCGGTGGTCAAGACATTGGGAAACAGAAATAAAGTTGTAAACCAGCCCCTCTGTAATCTGCCTGTAACCAGCATACCTCAGTTTTGTGAGCAAGTAGTACACAGGGCCAGTAACATAGTGGGACGGGACATGTATGCCTCAATTTGACTTTGAGAAAAAGCTTGTATGGCAAAAATATTTTATTTTTTTATCATCGATTGAGGGAAACAAGAATTTTGATTACAGTCTAGACATCCAAAAGCAGTCCAACTTGAGGGGTGGGTAACCGCCGCAGAGAGGTCCAGCAGACTTCTCTCTCTCTCTAAAGGTAGAGGCAATCCAACAACAGAGTAACTGAAGCAATCAACACCCGAATCAAGGCTAGATGAAGAAAGGGCCATGCCAGACAGAGAAACTGTCAGGGCTAAAAGGCGAACAGAGGATCAACCTGGAGTTCCAGACCAGGTACGAGAACCACATTTAAGGGTAGACTAAAATCCAACCCCCTAGGACACTAGCAAGCAAACTAAGGCATGCTGGATAGAGGTAGGGTTATACAAACGCTGGCTTACAACGCTTTTTTCGGGTTTGCCAGTGTCCCAACCGGTTAGTGTAATCCATCTTATTCTTATTCTGCAGAAAATTAAAACTTTTAAACGTCAAGGAGCAGCATTCATTGTAAGTGATTTCATCAGCTTTTGAAAAAGCTAAAAAACATTTTGATTTTACTATCACTATAAGACACTGCACTCCTGACGAATATTGCAAAGATGTGAGCTAGATTGTGACCTATGGAGAAATAGGAGGCATGGTGAGATATGTAGCTCTCGGTATGCATAAACTTGTATGTTTCTGTCACCCAAGTGTACATATTTATACTTTGAGCTGTCATATGTGACAAGCTTATCTGAAGGGTATAATTGCATTTGGACAAGAAACTCTAACCTGGCCTATTGACATTTTCAGTTGATATCCATCAACTTACAGATGTTATGATCACTGCCTGAACCAGCTTGTTCAAGAGATAGTCATCTATGTTGTATGTGCTTGTTATTTGTTACCTCTTATACTCTTTACACGTTCCATTCTTTAAGTCCTTTATCTGCTGTTATTAGTTAGAGGGTAGACTGCGGACTGTAGCTGACTGATGACACTATTCTCCTGAGTTGCTGCTCTCAGGTCTATGGACAGTTACTTAACTGAAGCTCAAGGGCTTCTTTTATTATAATTGACATGAACATGTGCCCTTTGACTATGAACATTAAAGTATTTAACATATTCAAAACAAGCAGTAAGCAGTTATTTGTGTTGCTTTAGCCTTACAATGATGGTGCCTTTTTCAAATGCTGCAGTATAATTATTATTATTCCCTTCAGTATCTAAAATCAGACATGTTCCAACCGCGGAGCATGGGGATACATGTTTTAATCACATGTTATATGAATTTATCTTTTTTAAACTTGTAAGTCATGTATTTACTTCTGCCAGCAGAGTGCACAAATGCAACATTTATAACCCGTACAGCTTTGTCACGATTTTTCTTTACTGCGTTGAGTTGAAATGCTTGAATCCTGATGGACCAAAGATGTCGTCAGTCTGTTAGATGTTTGACTTCTAACAATGTTCACATTTTTAGCTATGGGTTTATTAATTCAGTACCCGCCTTGTCATTTTTATGATGCATAGAAGTTATTAGCTTTGCTTTAGTAATTTCTGTATTTTATTTATGTAATTGACTGTTTTATAAATTGTATCAACTTGTAAAAAACAAATATATAACATGCCACTGTAATATCTACTGTAGAAAAGCTGCTGCCCCCTTGGCAGGGAAGAACTCTAGCACATACAAGCGTCTGATGGATTATATTTTTCATTAATTTCAGGGCTAAAAAGAACCTATTTTTTGCAATCCATTTTTTTCTCCAATATTTTATTCTTCATTCAAAATTCTACCTGACTGCTGATGTTTTCCTCTGATTGCAACTATCTAGTGTAGTCATCCTCAACCTAGCTTTTAGAGTATTTTCTTCTACAAGACGTTACTTTGGGAAAATCAGACAAGGAATCTGTTTTACCATGAGCAATAACTATAATGTTTCTTTTTTTTTCCATGTTTGCTTATAAATAGGCATCTAAATACATTTTTCGGGACTTGTGGATAGTTTTTCTGTATTACACTTACCTAATCTGATTTTGATATTATAAGGTAGAGGTGATATATATATGTATAAAGAAAGCAATTATGCAGCATATGTTGGGTATCGCCACACATGGGAGCCATAATTTTAAGGCCATTATACATGGTTAACTCTAAACTGATGACCTATAAAGGATGCAATTTTGAGACTTGAGATATTTATCTATGTACACAATGCAACCTCATCATTTTATATTTTACTGAAACATTAATTGGGTAATATATTGTATTTGTGTGCACTTAAATAATTTGCTTTTATTCCAGAAAATATGGGTGTGATAAACATATAGGCTAACATAATGTGGCATAAACATTGCAACTACCATCATTTTATTCTCCAGGGTTTCTGCTTTCAGAAAACACTTACAGGGTTATTCACCAAATAGAGTTAGGAGAAGGTAGGAAAAGTGAACAATCTAGGACAACATACAGTAGCTGAACTGGAAAGTGAGCTTAATTGGAGAATTATTCCAGTTCAGCTATGTTGTCCTAGATTGTTCACTTCCCCTGTCTTCTCCAAACTCTTCACCCTTTTGTGAATAACCCTGACAGTTTTGAGGGTTTTATGCAATTTTCAGGCCTTTAAATTGTGTATTTTTAACGTGTGCACATAATGGCCCTGACAGCTAAAGGGTTAATCCCCTTTCACTATAACCTGTATGGTTATACTGTCCAACACTGTAATAAATTGTTCTGAAGTTATTGTCAGAGGTCATTGCCCTTGTCCTTTGTAGTTAGCTCATGACAAAATATAACTGATGTTTTGTTGACAAAAACATTCAACAAATGCTTGCAAGAATTTCAGTAAAACACTATTAGTATTTCCTAAAAAACAAGGAGCTGCAAGGCTTATACTATTTTTAGATAAGGGGTTTTGTTTAAAAATCCCACCCAGTGGATCTTTAACATTTTCTAGACTGTTTTTATTCTTGGTATACAATGCCATGAAGTGTAAAGCTAAGGTCTAAGATAGAGAGATAGAAGAATAAGATTTTAATCACCAACTCCACTCAGAATTAAGCTTTTGCCTTTGGCTGGTTAGAGAGGTGGTAGACATATAGACATTAAAGGAGAACTATGGGGCAACCTTTTTTCCCCAAAAGTTCTCTTCAGGATCACAAGAGGATATAGACTAATGTCCTCCTATGACCCAAAACTCATATATCGGGATATTGCCTGCTATATGCTAAGGGCAATACTGTCAAGATCCACCGCGCTGGCTGATTGACAGCTGGCTTTGCCTCTCTAGAGCTATGCCCGCCCCCTCTAATGTCTGTTCCTCCAGTCAGCGCTGGAGAAACAGAGACAGGAGGGGTAAATCCCTGCGGGCAGCGGTGACTGGCAGTCTCTGCAGGGAGCAGATCAGGAAGTCAACGATTGGCGGTGTGTGTTCACTCAGTTCCCGATTTATAGAGCCGACCTGTAACAGCTTCAGTGTCACAGGTTGGCTTGAATTATGGGGATAAATGTTTTTCACTCACCCCATAAATCTCTTTTAACAGAGAAGTAAGGCCAAACCTTTTTTTTTTTTATAAATGGCTTTACTTCTCTTTGGGTCACAGTAGTACATTTACTGTGACCCAAAGTCAGCACATAGAGGGCTACTGCACGCTATATGCTGACAGCGCAGAGACGTTCTGCAGTTTGGAAGGATCCTGACAATATTGAGAGAGGGAAGGGAGGAATCCCAGCTGGGAGCAGTAACTGACAGTCACTGCTTATCACAGGGAGAAGAGATCGTGAGCTGAGCCATCAGTGGTTATATGATTGCTCAGCTTTGGGTATAGAGCAGGCATGCGACAGTAGCACACTACTGTAGTAGTATGTTTTACTCTCCCTACACTTCTCATTTAAGGGTATTTCTATAGCAAATTCAGTTGTTATAAAGGTTAAGGTAAAGGCTAGAGGCAGCTAGTAAACAGTTATTTGGCATTAAAGGCATTAATCTGGAGAGACTAAAGGAAACTGAGATTTAATTTGTTCTTATGTACTGCAGTTGGCATGTCGTCATTGCTGTTTGTACAATTGGCATTGTTAAAAGCCAGTAATTTCCCACAAACATCAACTTTTTTAAGGTGTGGTTTCACAACCATACATATACCAATACAGTGGCGTGCCCACATAATAAAAACTTGAATTTCCCCTTAAGTCAAAAATGTTTATATTATGTTGAATAAAATGAAACAATAACATATGTGTTTTTGCAAGTTTTAAGGACTTTGTTGGTGCTGATATTTTTTGGCATATTTTGGTGTAAGAGATGACATGCATTCTTCTGATTTTCTTCTTTTATTTAGGTAAAACTTGTAGTTATTGACAGTCTTGCATTTCCTTTTCGGCATGACCTTGAAGACCTCTCTTTACGGACACGTTTGCTAAATACTTTGGCTCAGCAGTTGATCAGCCTTGCTACTCGTCGGACACTAGCAGTAAGTGTATCATTTTGAACTGGTACAGATAACTTAGCAACCATCATCAATAATATAGTCAGTCACACACCAATGCAAAGAAAAGCAACATCAGTAAACAAAGTTAGAATAGGATATGATAATTGTGTCAGTGAATTGTCCAGTATATTGAACCCATATCCTACAGCATAGATGCCTACAAGAGCCTATAACATACAGTGTAGATACATACAAGTGCAAACACGTACAATACAATTGATACCAGATCCAATGAGCAATTGTGAGGTCCTATAACCAACATTTTGGGGTCCATTCTGACCCCTTTCTCAAGGAGCTCCTGCTGCTTAGCCATCTCTCCTTCTTTAAAAGCCAAAGGCTCCTGCGGGTCAGTCCACATGTGATGCTGCAAAACTGCAAGTGATATCACAACGTGTCACTTCTGGTGCAGCAAAGAGTCCCAATTTGAGGTTCACCTCAGATACAGTCTACAGACCTGAACAACCTCCATATTTAATATATAAATCTGTATGCTCATTAAATAAAATCTATAGGTTTGGACAAGCCTCATATGCAAGATTTGGACAGTATTTCTATCCACTTGCCTATAGGTATATAGCCCTTGATGGTCTTCCAAGACAGTATCATGGTCAATAGGCTCCATTTCACCACCTCGGATGTATTCTACTTGGCAGCTGTCTTAAAATCTTTGCAACAACAAGAAAAATGACATACAACCAGCACAGTGCTAGCAGTAGTACAGACTGTGTTCAGATTTCCACATCTGAATAATATATTGTCAGGATCCTTTCCATCAGAAGATAGTGGGAAGTAGCCCGCTTTATGCTTGCTTTGGGTCACAAGAGTGCATTAGTATATGTACTCCTATGACCCAAAAGAGAAGTAAAGCCTAAAAAAGGTTTGGCTTTACTTTCAATTACACTATCTGAGTTTACAATTATTTTGAAAACGTTGAAAGTAATACATGAAGTGGACTAAAGGGTTTTGTTTTTTTTTATATAAAATCTGATTGCTTCCTTTAGGGTAATGTTTGCATGTTCTGGTTTCATTAAATCAAGAAATATATGATCCTGTTGTTGATGGTAAACATGGATTACAATAGTTCAGCATATTCTACTTCCATTTTATGCTATTATATGGTAAAAAAATTTAGATGAAGCCATTTATTGTTCAAAAGGGTATATTTATAACTTAATTACTGAGGAAATAGAAAACCCCTCCCTAAATCCTTCCTTCTTAAATAAACTATTTTCTTTGCCTGCTGCAGTGCTATACAAGGATAAATATAATGTACTTTCTGCTCTCATCCAAGCCATCTAAGCTGTGATCAACTGAATTGCTGCTCTAACAGCAGCCTAAATATAGCCAAGATCTACCAGCAGGCAATGTAATGGCTTCAGAGCTGGAGGAGTTAACAGCATGATATGCCTGATTAGCTAGTTAATGTGGAAGATATAAAAGGGGCCATGCTTATGCATAGTCTCTGTCATTGCGCCAGTTCAAATACATTTTAGCTGGAAACGACATGCAAGTCGCCTTGCTTGATTGGGTTTTTTGGATTCAGCAGATGCCTGCTTTATTCCATTACTCTTCGACGCTCCGATTCTATTTTATTTGTATAATGTATTTATTGTTCCAGTGATAATAACCTGGCAGGCTTTCAAATGAATAGTGCTGAGGTCTGAGCTGTTTTAGCTGAGACTCAAAGAAATAATGCAAAATTGCATTCTCATAATGCCGTCTGCTGAAAGGAACCACACGCCCCTTGCTTCAACGTTTTACATGCTATTTGAACCAAAGAAAAGATTTGCATGATTGACATGATCCTTGGAGACACTTGCTCACAGAATGTTAACGTTAAAACAGCAGTACAATCATGGGAAGAAATAACAGCCTAATGGATCCTTATTGAAAACTGTGCTCCAGCTACACTTCACAAATGTATCTAAATATTGAACTGGTATGAGATTCCTTTTCTGCAAATGTATAAGTATGTGTGTGTATATCTGTTGTTATTTATATATCAAGGGAACCTGTCACAGTTAGTCTTGTAGACCCAAATAAAAGGATATTGAAGTCTTCTTTTTTTTTCATATTTTGTTTTGGATTTAAGTAAATAATAAGAATAGGTTGCTCCTTATAGTTAAAGTGGATGTTAATTCTAACACCATGGCTTTAGTTCCCTATAGCACCGTTTATAATTTTGTAAAAAAGCATTTTAAAACAAAAAATTTAAGCCCGTGGAGCGTGCATCGAAACCCAAAATGTGAATAAAAAAAGTGCATGTAAACACACACAAAAAAAGTGCATAGAAGGGGTGCAATCCAAAGGGTCCGTCTCCCAAAGAGATGGGGCCCATCCCTGACCCCTCGGGGGGCGCAAGGCTCCTAACGGGCAAGGCACTCGTGTCCACCTGGCCGAAACCAGGCAGACCCATTCCTTGTGGCCAGTCGACTACCGAGTACAAGGTTAAGGGCTCCCTCGAAGGGAGACCCACGATTCAGGGGAGGAAGGAACCTGAGGGCCACGCATCCTCCCCCTAGACTTCAGGGTAGGCCTGAAGACCCACACCCTCCATCCTGTGGAGTGAAAAACACACCTAAAAAGAGTGAAAAGTGCACATATAGTGAGAAAAATAATTTAGAGTGCAATACAATGGCGAGGCCTTGCGGCCCGGTAATAAAAGTTACCCCTGGTCTTAACCATAAGGCCTAGCTCAAGAGGCGATTGTGCATTAAAAGCAAAAGGTGTCGTGGCCAAAGTGCCGTTCAGACAGTGGGGTCCCAAACCCATAGGTCTACTAGGGCGCCCCTGAGTCACCACTCCAGGGGGCTTAAACACCACATGCTTCGTGCCTTCTCAGCCCATGGCCAAACAAGGAAGACCTGTCCAAATCAGGAGGAATTGGGCCCTGCCAGATCCCAGCAACCGAGAAGTACTCCCGACCCCCACTCTATACGTGAGTGGACGCTCAATTTGGTTTCCTTCCCATAGCCAGGACCTTTTAGGACCCCCATCACCAGGCAGGGTACTCAGATTCCAGCCATAAGGCCAGTACAGCGGCTCCTTTCCCCTCCTGCACCTGATAAGAACAGATACTTGATCTTAGCCAAAAAGCAGAGAAGCGATTTATTCTTATTTTGTTATCTCAATTCTAGTGATCTCCTGCAGCCACTTCTTGACTACATACATTCGCTCCAGCAACCGCTGGTCAGATCAGGTTAACTGATGGTGACAACAGTGGACCATGTCTGCGTAGTGTGTGTTAAAATGGCCACTTATTGTATCCATCGTAAGTGCAGGAGCAAAACAAGTAGACAGGAACATGGCATTATCACCCTATAACAGGATGTGTCGTAACAAGGACCTTTATGACGGGATCACCACTCATGTTTATGATAGCTACAAAGTTACAAATATTGCAAACAACATATACTTCGCAATCTGTAGCCTCTACTGTATCTGGGCTCTTTTTACATAATTATTCAGAATGGCTTCACCCACTATCAATTTAGTATCGCATTGTAAGTTGTATTAATTTTGTTTCAGTGAACTGATATATAACTTTTAAGCGCTCTTCTCTCGGGGCATAGTCTCTTTTAGTTTTAAGTGCGTCCACTTTTGTGGGTTTACATTTCTCCATATGTTCAGCCGTTTCATGCTTTTAAAATGAAATGAATCTTGGTAATGAAAAATACACTGATAATGTAAGAGTGTATAAGGTAATGATCAGGTTATCACTTCTCTGAATTTTAGCTAAGATCAAGTGTATTATCTGTTCTTATCAGTGTCCAGAAGAGGAAATTAGAGGTGCACCGAAATGAAAATTTCAAAAACAAAACCGAAATTAAAAAATCTCAGGCCGAAACCGAAAATGTTATTTATTTTAATTTTTCACATTTAAAAAAAATATATTTTAATTTTTTTTAAATTTTTATTTTTTACTTTACTTTTAGAGGCTTCGGGGAAATATTGGGGGGTCCAAACAGACCACTGATATTTCCCTTTTTAAAATAGAAAAAGAGATTGAGGACACAGAGTCCTCAATCTCTTTTTCTGCAGCCCCAGTTATAAATGAACAGGAATCCTCTATACGGAGTGTTCCTGTTCATTCATAACTTGGCGATACTGTGTTTACCATGTCCACAATCATGAATGAACGGGAGGTGATGTAGATCACTTCCCATTCATTCATAATATTCATATAATACTATGTCCTCAATTATGTACAAACACTCAGCGATCACCGATCACTGAGTGTTTGCTGTGGCTCTCCTTTTTGACAGCTGTCACAGGAGGCTGGGCGGAGCAGTGCAGGGAGAAGAGCTCAGCCTCATGTGACAGCGCGTGCTGTCTCCACCTACACACCGCTCTGCCGGACTGATAGAAGGCTAAGCTCTGTGGGGGGAGAGACCCCGGCCGCTCACAACGCTCTCCTCCCGCAGCGCTCGCCTGGCTGTCACAGTTTCTCTCCTCTATGCTAGGACACAGAGCAGCGCCCATCTGGGAGGAAAGAAACCAGGGATGCGCCGATGTATCGACAGAAAAATGGCACTTTTGGCATTTAGCCAAAAGCACCATTTTCGGCCGATTTATCGGTGCATCCCTAGAGGAAATGGTGCTGCTGTTTGGGCCTTATGGTAAGAATGGCTGGCTGCAGAGTACTCTACCTTGTATGATGGGAGTCTTGAGGGGTCCTGGCAATGGGAAAGAAACTGTAGCATCCCTGGGTAAAATGGAGCTTGAAACTACTTGCCTAGCACTGGGACCTTGAGAGGCCCAGGGCCTCCTGACTTGAGCAGGTCTACCTGCTCCTGGTTATTGGCTTAAAATGGTTGAAGTGCCCTGGGGATACCAGAGTAACACTATGGGTTTGGAAACCCGCATTGTGTGAAACAGCCCTAGGCCACAACACCACTTGCTTTTGTCTTTGGGCCTACCCTGAAGTCTAGGGGGAGAATGTGTGGTCATCAGTTTTTTTTCCTCCCCTGAACCAGGGGTCTCTTTGGGAGAGCCCCCAACCAGGTTTGGCTGACCACAAGGAGAGGGGTCTGCCTAGCTTCGACTAGGTGGACATAGGGGCAGAGCACTCATCAGGAGCCCCCCAGGATCTAAGAAGATCTCTTTCTCCTCGCGAGAAAGACCATTGTGACATGCCCCAGTGCATCTTTTTTATGTTTGTTTATTATTTTTGTGCACACCCATCACAGGCTTAAAGAAATTTTAAAAAAATGACCATGATAAAACAAGCACAGTGTTCTTGTAAGAAAATTACCACAATCCTTTATCACATCTGTTTTTTAAGCATAAATGTTTTTATGGGCCAGTGCTTGATGTTCACTGCTAGGATACCCAGCCATCCGATCTTACTACTTAACTCTATCAATTACTTTAAACTATTTGGAAAATGTAGGTGAATGGTCACTGAGGGTGATCTCCCTATTTTTAACAGAACAGCTGCCGCATGAGGACCTACTGTAACATCGATCTCTCATCTTAACTGTAATGACTGCCACATTGGGACATGCTGGAACTGCTGTCTCCAACTTGGTCAATAAACAAATGAAATGTATGCATGCCATGGACTACTGCCATCTTTATGTGGAAAGATAATTGACCACTGAGGGTGATCTTCCCATCCATACTGGAATGACTGCAACATCAAGATCTGCTGTGACTCCGAAAAAAGAGTCACAGCAGATGACTCCAGAATTACCACTGAGCTACCACAGAGCTTTATCAACATGTTGGTTGTGTCTGTTAGTTACTAAAGCTTACTTCCAAATTTGAACAATGCTTATTATTACTATGTTGTTAGCCTCTTCATGGGCGCATGTCACTTGAATGGATGTTCCAACCAATCTATTTACCCTACTTTACAGCAGATCTGGTGCTGAAGTTAAATGTTATAAAAATCTGGTTTCTGTTAGGACAGACAGTACATGTATTAGCAAGGCCCTTACTCATAAGTCATAAATTAAAATTGCTCTGCTACTTGTAGTCAACCAGTTTGACAGATAATATTCACCCACTGATTATTTTAAAATAAGTGCCCATGTAATTAAAAATAGCAAAAGGTTTTGATGTCAGCACTGCCCTAGCTATATCTGTGGCCTGTCAGCATTTTTGCAGCAATTATGATATAATGAGCCCAGAGGGGCAGTGCTTCTAAATGTGTACATATATTTTACATTAACATAACAGCATTTCTAGTTTGACAAAATCAGTGCATGCATAAAGTTAACTTGAATTGATGTACCTTACTAAACTGCAGACATGATTGAACAGAGGGCACCCATAGGTGCCTGCATGTATCTTTAAATATTTTTCAGAGTATCCCAGGGTGCACAATTCTACAAATCTTGACTTCAGTTAGCAAAATCAAGCTTTGGTATGGCTTTCCCCCTTGCTTTGTAATGTGCCTGTATATTAACTAATTTAGTAAGTTTGGGGAAGGACAGGTTTATATTATATGCTGTAAATACCACGTGTAAAGGTAGAAATTGGAGAAAGCTCTGCCATCAGAAAAGAGTATTTAAAATTACCAGACAATTCTAATCTTGCTTCCTTGCAACCATGAAAAAAAAAATAGGCCATATGCTATATACTGTTTGTTCCCCTGCTTTTATTGCCGTCTCCTGGATTTTCCCAGAATTCTGCACAAAACTTGCAGTGCAGTTTCATACATCCCCAAATTTGTGTTTAGTTTTATTGCAATAAGTCTTTCATCTTTGGTATAGCGGCCAAGGGCACTGCACATGTAGGCATGTTGAGCTGCATGTTTTCTCTTATAGTAAGCTTCCAGTTTGTTTGTAATGGGTCTACCAAACTTGATGCATTATTACCATATTTATTCAGACTATTTGTTTAAAGATTCAATTTTGGCTAAATTTGGTGATCCTGAAACACAACTGCTAGCGTAGTTTATTTGTTTTTCCTTGCAGGTAATTTTAACAAACCAGATGACTACAAGGATTGGACCCAGGGAGTCCTTTTTGGTACCCGCTTTAGGTATGATTTTATTTTCAACAAATTCTAAAAGAGCAACTATATTAATGCAACTTTAGATATAGTAACATGTACAATAAATGATCTAAGCTAAATGTTGTGGCCGTATTTCAAAAGTGTCTTAGCGACAGTGTCTTAATTCTTAACGATAACAACCGCTTGTTATAGCTTGAGTCACAGTCTATTTTGCAACCTAGCATGCAAAGCATCCCATCTTAATCCTAGTTGAGTTAATAACATTGGACTGACTAGGAGGCAGACAAAATAACAAGCACATTACAAAACAGTTTAACTGTGAAGTTACTATCACAATAAAAATACAGCTGAATCATATTCCATTAATTGCCTATGAAAGTGATGTGTCAACACTTTGACTTCTGCCATAGGTATCCCTGTGTACCTGGGACATTGGTCTCCTGCCCAGTGCCCCAGGTCTAGCATCACTTTGCAGGTGCAGGCATCATTGGGTAATAGCCTATCCCATGCTGCCTGCATAGTTTCAGTGCTAATGTTGCTCTTCTGAGATGCTGGAGGCAACAATGGAGGACCTATGCAGCTGCTCTCACGGAAGTTCTTATGTTATCTCTAAGTGAGCCCCCACTGACCATTAATCAAAGGGGGATCTGACGACTGAACACCAGTATGTTGGGAGGCACTGACGACTGAACACCAGTGTTTCAGGGGGCATCAATGACTAAACAACAATTTGTCACGTGGCAATGACGACTGAGCGCCATTGTATCGAGGCACCGACGACTGAAGGCCATTGTATCAGAGGGCACTGACGGCTGAACATCATTGTGTCAGGGGGCTCAAACAACTGAAAATGTGTGTCAGGGGTCACTAACGTCTGAACACCAGTATGTCAGAAGGCACTGATTGAACAAACAACTTCAGTAGTCTTGGACTTACTGGTCTCTAAAAGGAATGCAAATGTGTGTTCTAACTTTACTGGCTAAATGCTTGCTCTGGGTCAGTGACGAAAAGGAAGCTAGCATTTTTAGAACAAGGTCCACAGTGGCTGCCCCCATATTTCAGTATGGGTTAGAGTCATAGTACAGTGATCTTCCTGGTTGTGTAGTGTGGCAGACATCTGTGAATGACAACAGATGCTGACAAAAGTATTAATCCTTTAGCAAGTAAAACAGTAAACAGAGAAATATTTGAATTATATAGTTAATTACTTGCCCAGAGTTTCACCAAATCACTTTTAGAAACATCAAATTCACTCAGAAGTCAGTGTTCAGGCTTCCCAAGCATTTGTCATTTTATGTTTTTAAGCCACAGCTACAATATTTGAATTGGATTCTCCTCTGTACTTATCTATGCAGCCTATAGTACATAAGTGTTGTACAAGCTGCCTCTTGCACTCATGTCTGTCATACTGTCAGGCAAATCTCTGCAGATCTCCACATCATACTTATTCAGAGAATTTGTATTCACAGTTACATTCTCCTCGGGGATTTCCTCCCTTTTTTACTAAATAGCGCTTTATTGACTGGGTGCAAGACGCAGTCCCCAGTGGAAACATTAATCTTTGCTCGCCTATTTAATTTGCCGGGAGTGGAAATCCTTTAATTATAAAAGAGGCTTGGGTTGCCTTGAGCTGACTAGCTAAATATTTTACAGGAAACAGAATGATTTCCTTATATTTATTTAAATGTAAAGTTAACTCAGGGCTTGGTATGTTTGCAGTTTTACTTCTACCTGATCCCTTTATATATGTGCTTGGCCTATGGCAGTCATCCATAAATAACAATATCAGATAAATATTCTGGACAATATTGGTAACATGGCGGAAATTAATTAATGTACCAGTAAGGTTGCCATACATAATGTGGGTTTGTGAACTTTATAAAAATATTATTGGTATTTTAACTGTGCCTTCTACATAGAGAGGTTATCCTTTTTTCAGATTAGTTAAAGTGACATTACAGTCAAAAATCTTTTTCCCTCCCCCCATGTTAAAGCACTTACCTTAAATTATGCCTCTTAATCCAATATTCCACTTCTTTCCTTTTCATCTGTCCCTCCAGCGCTGCGGCGGGTCTCCGATCCAGCGCTGACTCCTCTGAGCTTGTCCCACGGTGTCTGCATGCGGGTGCACGCGTCCATAGACTTACCTTGTGTTTCTCCTCGCAACCCGGCCGAAAATGTGAACTGCGCACGTGTCCGGCCCAAGATGCTTTACGGCCGCCCGAGAAATTTCACATTTTCGGACGGGAGCGCGCGGGGAAGACGCAGGTAAGTATTAACCTTTTATTTTATTATTATTATTTTTGTACACTTTTTGCATATATCTACTGCTTGCTAAAGATAATTTTTTCTTAAAGGAAAATTCCCTGCCCCCCCGCATGTAAGCTACAAACCCAGAGCATACTTGCCTGTCCGTGGCGACTTCCCGCAGCGTTTACATCTGTGCAGAAATCTGCACTGGGCTCACTGTGTCCGCTCAGTAAATTTCCCATAGTTGTGAATAGAGCCATATATCTGGGGAGGTTTCCAGATTTTATTAGTTTGGGGGTGGGGGGTTTTTTTTCAATAAGTATAGGCAGTGTTAAACACACATACATTAATGTTGACGTGCACTAGTGCAGCCTATTTATTAGAAAAGGATGCCTAATTCACCACAACAGGCCAAAATTGTGCATGCAGTATTCTCATTCTTCATCCACTGTAGGGTGTTATCTCATGTTGCATTGTCCTGCAATGCAGGTGCAATGGCTGGGTGCGTTTGGGTGCTATTCTGAATAAAAGGCACTGGGGGAAGTTATCAAAACTGGAGCAGTTGCCCATGGCAACCAATCAGCTTCTCTATCCAGTTTGTTCAGTTAAGATTTGAAAATGAAAGAGAGAAGCTGATTGGTTGCCATGCACATCTGCTCCAGTTTTAATAAATCCCCCTCACTGAAGGGAATTTATCAAAACTGGAGCAGACAAAATCTGGAGCAGCCTGTACATGACAACCAATCAGCTTCTCTTTCATTTTCATATCTCAACTAAGCAGAGAAGCTGATTGGTTGCCATGCACAGCTGCTCCAGATTTGTCTGCTCCAGTTTTGATAAATTCCCCCCAATGGTACCACAGCGCACTGTTGTAAACTATATACTAAATATGAAGTCCAGCTGACCTTTCAGTTATTTTAGTCAGCTAAATACTTTTCAGGTGCATCAAAAACAAAATGTCAAAATATATATATGATCTGCGCTTTAGATGTTCAAACAAAACCTCATGAGCTGCAGTGCTAAAAAATGTATATCACACTTTTACAAAAATCTTAAATAAATTGTGCACTGCTCGTTACCGGTTAATGTATCTATAAAAAAAAGTCCACATCAATAAATAAAGTGCCTAACACAATGAAATGTGAGGTTCACCAATTAAAGTGCTCAAATATAAATATACATGATGTTCAGATAAAAACCATCCACTGTATAGTGTTCATAGTGACTTGTGCAAATTTTTCTCATAACATAGTGACATGTGCAAACAAAAAGTCTCAATGTTAAAGGAGGACTATGGGGTTAGGCTTTTCCCCATAGTTCTCCTAAGGGTAACAGGAGGACACAAACTAGCGTCCAATCTACCCATCATATTTTATTATTAAATAGATACATTTATTTTTATTTGGCCCTTTGGAATTTCTTATAGCTATATGTCTTGGAACAGCTTTTATTTTTGATGCGTGTAGAATGTATTTAGCACATTTATAATGAAAGTTCAGTTGGGCTTTAGTAATGCTGATTGCTAAGATAAGACCATCATTCCTACACTAGAAGTATAAAACTAACATGGCAGTTCTTTGGACTGGATTCATAAACAGTATAGTTAAGTTAATGACTTAACTCAAGTACTATGGTTTATGGACAGTTTCATATCACTGAGGGCTCCCCAACCAATAGTTAGGAATTATGATGATTGGGTACTTTGGATCTTCCAGTTAGAGTAAGAGAGTGCACACATTATTTGAAAACCAAAAAACATTTATTTTCCTTTGTGTTTCAGTATGGATCTAGTGTGTAAGTGCACACACACCCACTAACTCCTTAAAGTGGAACTACACCCTGCTATACTTTGCAGCCAAGGAAGGAACCATCACCAGCCTCTATTTGGTTTGCAGTTGCCATCGTGCTGCACATGTGATCAACTATGGCACCAGCCATTTGAGGGATTAGAAGTTTGGTTGAGAGCTGACAAAAGCACACTGACAACCTTGACAGTTGGAATGCCTTGAAAGTAACTGCTTTGGGAGACCTTTAAATTGGTGGGTCTAGATCCGCTTTAAGTACTTTCAAGGCTTCATGTTTTAAGGGTGTTGGCTGGTGTTCCTCCTGCTATGGATGTTGTCATCTGAATTCTTTTAAGGAATAAATGGGTAATTCATTCAGTTTCAATAGACAGGCTAAAGCCCAATGTAATAGTAATTGCTGAGGGAGAAAAAGTTCTAGAAGAGGGATCTTAGTATACCAGAGCTATGTAGGAAACAGGGCAGGCTTAAATACATTGGATTGCCCTTAAACTAAGTTTTTATGTTCGGTGGAACTATTCATGTGGACTGCCACTTTAATAATTATTTTGAATTCATGTATGCTTCTTTTGCAGGGGACAGTTGGGCACATGCAGCAACTAGTCGTTTAACACTACATTGGGAGGGTATGCAAAGGTGTGTATATATCATACAATTATGATCACGCTGTTTAGTGCTCTTTAGCTATTGGGATTTTAATGTATGTTCACATTTCAACTGTGAAAAAAAATAATTCTTTCTAAGCAATGGTTCTGGCTTTCTGGCAATGGCCTAGCAATAGACCTATTTTTCAGATTAAAAAAAAACCTTCTGTTTTAATTAAGATAGATCATTAAAGGGAAACTAATTTGTTTTGGGTTTTTTTTTGTTGTTTTTTTTTACAGTTTAATTGGGATCTGCTTAATGCTAATGATCACATTAACCACTTCAAGACCAGGTGTTTAGACCCCCTTCCTGGCCAGGCCATTTTTCAGTATTCAGCGCTGCGGTACTTAAGGACCTGTGTGTATTGAAATATGTAATGGGTTACCTTGAAAAGGGAGGATGACATAATTAACAGTCTTTCCCTGCTCTGCTTACAGAAAACAGCTAGTCAAGTACCCCCTACCTTCACAATGTCTTTGATCCAGTCACTTCCACTATGTAATTTTGAGGGGCAGTACAGCCTACATAGATTAGAAAATGCTGTATCATGTGACCTTTTTTATTATTTTTATTTATTATTATTCATGCCTCAACAGGAGCAGATTCACATTTCTGCAAATGTAGTAGATCGTACTTTAAGGCAAACAGGTTTTAATTTATAGCCAGTTCATCTATAAAGAGACACTGCCCTCAGGGCAAAATGACTGTGCCTCCTGACAGCCCAACTCCAGCAAGAGGTGACGAGGGAGTGAACTGCACTTTGTCACCCCACTCAATCAGAACCCTTGCACCCTTGCTCTAATTGGCAGGGTGTTCTGGTATGGGTGAACAGGTGACAGTGCTCAGGCCTGAGCGGCCAATCTTTAGGCCTAAACAATGTCACATAAGGGTAAGGGGGCATCATGTCATCCACCTGGGTAGGCTTTGACTCCTGCAGCGGTAAGAAGACAAGGGAGTGTGGATTTATGGGTGTACCTTGCTAAAGGGGCTATCAGGAGACACTGTCACTTTAACCTGAATCATGGTGACAGTGTCTCTTCAAGGTGAAGTTTACATCTATGCATTTTAGTTTGGAGCAGCCTACATGCTCCATTATTGGTGCTGGTTGCAGCAAGTGCACCTGCCATTAAGATTAATGGTTCTGCATGTAAAGCACATTAAAAGTACTGAGTGTGGCCTTATTTTCTGCCTTACATTAGCCATTTCAAGAGCCCTATGCATTTTCATAACAATGTGATTTTCTTCTTTTCTCTAATGTACATATAACCAAATTATTCAATTTTTAATGCATATGTTCTCCTTTTAAATTTACCGCTGTTTATGGTTTTATATTCATTATGCATGGGCTGTTAGATTTTGCCTCTTTTTGAAATGTAAATAGAATTTACTGAAGGTGATTGTGCTCATTGAAGCACATAAACAACAGATCCAGTGTTTCTGTCTTGCTGTAGTCAGAGCATAACACTTGGTCCATTTATTTGTTTGTTTCTAATTCAGTGATTTTAAAATGCACAAAACATCTTTCATCCTGACTTTTTTCTGGATTAGTACGTCTTTGTCAGCAATAAGTTGCCATGGAGTCCGCAAAAGAGGAAAGCTGTGAAAATGCTTTTACAATACATAATTTGTTCAGCTGAGTAGAATGCCACTCTCTAAGATTAAATTGACAAAAATGCTGTGCCTTCTTAACATGGTTCTCATAGGAAGATGTTTAGCATTTCACAATGACGAGTGGCATCACTGTATTAAAGAATTACAATATTTTTTTAAAACATTCATGCAATTATAAAATGTCAGCGTCTTCACCAGTACATAGTATTTGGAAGCTGGCAACTCGGCTGTAAGGACACATAAGCCACTGTGTGGCAACTACAGGTGGATTTGCTATTATGAATGGTGAAGATTTTAAAAGGATGGCCGAGGTTTGTGTGTTGCTCATCGTAACTAATTAGGTGTCAAACTGCTATAATTAAAATGAGGCTGTTGTGTAATTGTCCGTTGTCAGATATTTTTTAAGGCAGCAGGATCAGACAGGTGTTAAATGGCCTATGGACATTTCAGACCAAGACAGACAATCCGAGACTACCACCACAGTGGGTAAAAGACTGGATGGAAAATTTTGTAACATTCTCCCTCTATTTTATTGCTAAAATAGCATACACCATGATTTGGCATATCTATAAGAGCCTCAAGTTGGTGTTTTTTTTTTGGACAGTCATATCTACTTCTATTTCTACTGCCTTGCTACCATCTAATAATTTTGACCACTTTAAAGGAATTGTCCACGGTCTTTTCTATCAATTAATAAAAAGTAATTCTATAACACCTTAGTTTCCTTTTTCATAGAGAAACTGAAGGACCACAACTTATGTGCTAAACAGCCGGGTCTCCCCAGTCACACCCCCACTAGTCAACTCTTTCCTGTTTAGGCTCATGACTTTTCGTGGTCTACGACATTAAAGGAGAATTATGAGGCAAGTGATTTTCACTCAGCCTCATAATCTGAGCCGACCTGTGACAGTTTAATTGTCACAGGTCGGCTCAGTAGATCGGGAAGTGAGCGAACACATAGCGTCGCTCGCTCACTTCTCGATCTACACCTGCAGAGACTGTCACGGCTCCCTGCAGGTATTACCCCCTCCCCTGTCCGATCCTGCAGCGCTGACTGGCGAAACGGACGGGGGAGGCACAGCTGGCTCTGCCTTCTGGATAGGCAGAGCCACTTGTCAATCCCGCAGCTGGGTGGATCCCGACAGCATTGTCGCGATCCGTCCCGGCGGTGGCGTCTCAGTATACCGCAAGCTGTAGCTCGCGGTATACTGAGCTTTGGGTCACGGGAGAACGCTAATGGATAAGCTCACACAGACACTTGCACAAGCACACCCATCATCTCTGTTACACATGTTTAATTTTCTCCTGGCTGAGAATGCTCTCCCAGTGGGGGAGCTGCAAGACGAAGTAATTTAAATCAACAGAAGAACATGGCTTGAGTGTGCATTCATTGCTCTTGGCAGCAAATACTCAATGAACATATGGCTCAGTACCCCTTTCCCGGTCAAGTAGTTGGGGAGCAGTTAGTAATGAAAATGTTCACCAAGTACCTACATATTTATGCAAAATGCCTTAAAGCTGCTTCTTTTACACATGGGCAGCAGCTGATCAACAGACTGACCCCTAACACTGAACATAAATGTACACATGAATAATCTCTAATTTTCTTTGTGAAAGTGAAAAACCCCTTTAAATCTGGAGTAATTTAGCAACTTGTATATATTGTTCTGATTGTGTATTTTGAAGATTTCAGAGAAAAGATTGGAAATGTGTGGCACAGCAGTATAATGTATATCCAGAATTAGAACAAAAATAAAGTAGTTGTCTCAAAGCCCAATCATTGTCTTCTGAATTGTCATTAGGTTCCCCCGTTTGGTGCATCTTGAATAGTTGGTTTTGAATAGTAAATAAAAAAGACCTGTGTGTTTGGCCCACTCCTTATATTTTAGTTGAAATAAAAAATTACTTGTGTTTTGTCTACTGAATATATTTTAGTTTAAAACCATTGCTGCAGATATTAGAAGCTCTTCTCAATATTGTAGATCTATGATGAGATTACTGGATTACAGCCACATACATTAATTAAAAAGAAATGATATTAGTAATAATTATGAGTAGTATTTAGATAGATGCAATGAACAAGCAACTAGAATAGTTACACCATGACAATATTCAGCCACTACTGACTATTGTATCACACTTGGGGGCAATTAGTTTAAATATGAATATAGCTGAGTGTGTACATCTTATGTAAACAGCATTACTACCCAGGCAGCTTTTCTACAAGATCTCCATAAGGCTTTTCATAATGAAAGTCCTCTGTGTGTGTCAAACTGAATTTTAAAATGGTGCTTCACTAAAAGACGCATAAGTGAAGATGATGTGGAAATTGCACACTCTTAGCTTATCACCGTAATTTCATTAATTGGTTTGAAAGCACAGTTCATTACATTTCTGCCCATTTTTCAATTATGGGTTTGCTTTAAATCTCTTCTCATTTTTGCTCTGTAAAACAATATTAATAGTGGAGGCATTCATCTTTTGCATTGTACTCAGCATTAAAGAATATAAGTTTTCTTCTATTATTGGGCTGTGATTTTTAGCTCAAGCTGTTGAAATGTTTTTTAACTGTTTTATTCAAATCGGGACATGTTTGTTCCCACAGGGTCAGAGTCACAATAAAAACACCAGTAGGCTGCACAGATCATTCTAGAGAAGCTTTATATTGACTTCAGCTCATATTGCTCTATGACAGGGGTCTGTCAGGAACCGCATCTGAACCCATGGCCTCTGCTGTAGCTGGCAGTGGTTCTACCTGCTAAGCCACCTTAGAACCATGGATAGCTCCTTTCCTGATCTCCTGTGTAATCCTCAGTTAAACCTAGTTTCTGCTGAACTCCTTGCTCCTCCCTTGAACTTCCTATTTAAGCCATGCCTCTGCACTTCCTGTTTGCCAGATTATTGTGCTCCTGCCAATACCTTGCTTCCTTCACCCTCTGTGATACAATCTGCTCATACTGCTACTAGTGTACCGACCTTTGGCTGCTGATTCACCGACTACTCTCATCGTCTTCTGCTTCATACATGATACCTTTGGCTACTGACCTCCGCTTGTTCGCTGACTACGCTTCTGCCTGCTTCTATACACTACCGTCTGCTTGTGTACCAAACCCGGCCTGTTATACCACAAATTTGCCTGCTGTTTCAGCTACTGGACTCCGAGCTTGATCCCAGATTGTGACAGGTCTTTACACTCACAGCTACAATGTGCTGAGACCCCCCAGACCCTTTTCACAGATGGAGGAATAGTAGTTGCAGCCAAAGCACCATTTACCATCTATTTAGTCCCAAAACTGTATCAAATGTTTAAAAAACTCTCGGTGCACTTACACTTATCTTGTAGTGTGCTGTGCCTAGCTTTAGTGTGCATATATTTATTAAAGCAAGATGAAAACCAAACCATAAAGGATAGAACACGGAGTGGATCAGAGACATGTGAACCATTTGTGGGGTGGCTTTGTGGATCACCTCTTAGCTGCTTTTGAGGTCTTGTGACCTGGTAAGTATTTCCTAGGGTGGAGTTCATACTAAGGGCTTGTTTCTGTACGAGTGGATGATCTTGAGCAATGCAGTGTTAAGAATATCTTTGTTTTTTGAGTGGGTCTTTTGTCTGGCTGCTTCGACAGACTAATTTGGATTAACATTGAGATTTAAAATAGATCTCTGATGCTACTACTTGTATGCTTGGAGACCACGGGATTAGAGACGTGTTCATGTCAATCAACCAATCATGCGCCAGGAAAAATTCTGTTTTTCTTCTGCACATGATTGAAAATGAACATTGGTTCACCTTTATTACCATGTACTTTTTAAAGTTGACATACACTTTTCAAAGTTAAACTTTAACATTGTTAAGTTAACAACCTCTGTTTTTCACTCCCCTGTGTTTACCTGAATGAACCAAATAGGTCTAAAAAAAAGTCAAAAAAAGTTTCTCAGCCAGTGGCCCTGTCAGCAGCCTACCTTCTGGCATCATTTGATCAGAAAATTGAAGTAGCGGGGCATCATCTCAGGAGGCTGTGTGGGTGGGGGCTGGTTCTATAAACAGCTGCCGCGAGGTCCCCAGCAAGTGCAGGACCTTACAGCAGTCAAATGTATTTAAACATTTTAAGTGCTGGTATCGGGGCGTCGTACTCGTGAAAATGCACAGTATCCGCGTCGGTATCGGTGCATCCCTAACATCTGTTAGGGAAGGAATCTGTTAGATTTTTTTTTCGTTCTGCTATAAATATATAACAGTGTATGGCTGGCTTAAAGTGGCACTAAACTCAGGAGTGAAACCTTAAAAATACATTCAAGTACCTTAAAGGAGAACTATGGGATAAGTGTTTTTCCCCATAGTTCTCCTAAGGGTCACGGAGGGACATAAACTAGCGTCCTCCCGTGACCTAAAGCTCAGTATACCACGAGCTACAGCTCGCGGTATACTGAGACTGCCACAGTCGGGACGGATCCCGACATTACTGTCGAGATTCACCCAGCTGTGTGATTGACTGCTGATTCTGCCTATATAGAGGCAGAGCCAGCTGTACCTGCCCCATCCATTCTGCCAGTCAGCGCTGGAGGGAAGGGGGGGAATCCCTGCAGGGAGCCTTGAGTGACAGTCACGGCTCTCTGCAGGGACGTGAGCAAGCGGCGGTATGTGTTTGCTCACTTCCCAATCTATTGAGCAGACGTGTGACAGTTTCGTTGTCGCACATCAGCTCGAACTATGAGGTTGAGTGAAAAACACTTGCCTCATAGTTCTCCTTTAACTATTAACTAAAATGTATCTTATTTGTGTATCATTCAGCTGTAGAGCCTCAAATCATCTCTGAATTGGTTCTGACACTGTCATTCCTTCTGGAGGGTGGCTACTTTTGTTCCCCGTGGTCTCTGTGTGTGTTTTTAAGGTAGTCACCATTCCAAGCTCACTCCCGTGAAAGACTAGAATCTCAATACAAGTTAATAAACCAAACGTGAGATTGTAGTCCATCATGGGAGCGTGCAAACACTTACACGCAGTTTCGGATAGATGAGTCGCATCTATTCTGCATCCAGGGAAAAACATCTATTCCAAACCACATTTAATCATACCATGTAAGATTATTTGCAAACAGGCACTGACAGATGCAGCTGCTGTCATCATGTAATTTACTTCAATGGGTACAGGGTCCACATCTGAACAGGACAGGACAAGTGTGAGCCTAAGCCTATAGGCAACTACAGGTCTTGCATAAAGTCGTGTGCAAGACCTGGGAATTTATCAAAACTGGAGCAGACAAAATCTGGAGCAGCAATGCATGGCAACCAATCAGCATCCACCTTTTCATTTTCAAATCTTAAGTAAACAAACCGAACAGAGAAGCTGATTGGTTGCCATACACAGCTGCTCCAGATTTCGTCTGCTCCAGTTTTGATAAATTTCCCCCATTATTTTTAAATAGATGTTTCTAATTTCTTACAAAAATTAGGTTTGAGGTTGATTGGATTGTTGGAATGTTTGTACTTTTTTTTTTTTTTATTAAATGTAATTTTAAGATTGCAAACATTGTGTTATATTCAATTACAGATCATTACTGGGAAACGGCTTGCTTAGTTTAACTTTATTTTGTTTGAATTCATGAAACCTTAATCACTTACTAAATTGTGGTAAAAATAAATCAGTGGGGCTGTACAATTAAAATAAACAGTTTTATAGTTGATTTGAAACAAATTAAACTTTTAAAAATGTATTAGTTGCCTTTGGTTTAAGTCAACCAGTACTTCTTATTCTAATTGGCTGTTCCTAAAGTAATATATATGTCACAGCTTGGTAATCTATAATTGAGTGTATCCACTTATTACAGGTGTGCAACACTGTGCAAGTCACCAAGCCAGAAAAAAAGCACCGTGCAATATGACATCACGGTAAGCAGCACTATGTGACTTAGTAAAATTTAAGCTGTACAGCGTCTGCATTATTTTAAATCGTATCTAAACATCCCTAACAGTGAACTTCACTTATTTGCTCCCTTTTGATCTGTAAAATTACCATTTAAATCTATTTGATATGTGCATAAAAAAACCTGTTGATAAATACTAGCTGGAAATTCAGTGAGCTGCTTTGTTCCTCGAGCGAGCTGACAATGCTGCTCTGAAATCTCAAACATAGGTTTAAGCCTAGTCTCTCTGGTCTCACAGTGAACTACAAAAAGCCTCCTCTGAATGTTACGGAGGAGAGTGGGAGGTGTTCTGTGGTTCTTTTACTTCCTGTCCTGTGGTGACAAACACTTCTTTTACATAGTGAGTGAGCGTTGACACTCTAGCATTAGAAGTGTTACTGGCAGGATCACCAGATTTAAAATAAAGGGGGGGGAAAAGCCAGAAAAAAATAAAACAAATGCGGCCTCCACATCTAAGGACTGGTAAACTGCAATATATTAAATGTTTGTTCTTGGGTTTACATATATTTTACCACCCATTTGTGTAGGACATTCAGACCATTTGCAACTGGAGAAAGAAACATTTCAAATGGTTTTGAAAACTGAACCTCATTAGAATCAATAGAACAGATTTAATTGTTGGAATGTAATATCCTTTTAGGTATAGGGTGGTCAGTGCACCTGGCAAATAGTAACAAAAACATTTGACATGCGACTTGCACAAGTTCATGATTGTTTTCAAGGACGTACTTTTAAAGAAGAACTCTGGGCAAAACTTTTATTAACCCTTGCAGTGGGGCTATCCCACCAACTGCAAGGGCTGACTGCTCATTTTTGTGAAGGTGCTAAAAAAAAAAGTTATACTTTCGCCAAGCTAGGTTGTTCTTAGATCAGTCCTTACAGCCTCTCTCCCCCTCCTCTGCAGTGGTCCAAGGTCCTTAAATCATCATGTTCTATACACAGACGCTGAGGAACATTTCAGTGCTGAAGTGTAGGAGGAGACAGGCTTCAGAGAGTGGAGAAGCAGGGAGCCGGCTCAGCGGTTCGGGTTAGTACAACTTCTTTTTTTTCTAGACAAAAAAAGAGCAGTGTACTCTTGCAATGTGGTGGTAGACCCACTGCAAGGATTGATACGTTTTGCCCAGAGTTCTTCTTTAACTGCATGCCATTAAATTTTCAGCTCACCCATTGCTTGAAGCAATGTGCTTGGGTAATTATTTTTCATAACAATACAAGTTCCCAACAGACAAAAAACATACGTTTTGGTGTTTTTATGGGGTTTTTCAGAACTGCATGTTTAACATATTAAAGTGCAAGCTGTGCACAAAAAGAGGCAGGCAGAGGGCAAAGATCTAGTCACCAGTACTTCCGGTGTTTTTTCCTGCAGTGGATCATTTCCACATTACTGACTTACCATGTCTTGTTCTCCACTGTGTCTCTGTGCGGGGGTGGTTATCTTGGTAGTTGCAGGTCTTTGCTTCCTCATATCCCAGCCTCTGACAAGGCAAAAGAAAAGGCCCTAACAAACAAGGGTAATGGGGCTACCTTATTTGTTGTTTTTATGGTCTGCAAACCCTCTAGAAACGGTAAAAAGTTGTGTTAATAGTGGGAGGATTTAAATGCTAAATAATTATAAAATATGATTTTATCATATAAAAGCAGTTCATGCAGCTTACATGCAGTTACTTGTTATTTTACAGTACCAAGGATTCCGTGATGTACAAGTTGCTCAGCCTGAGACGGACTCAGTAAAACTTGAAATTAACCCACGGAAGCGCCCTAGAGAAGATGATACAGAATAAGATAAGGTTCCATTTCGCTGACTGTCCAAAACACATGGATTCTTCAAAAATATATGCCTATATTTTGTAATCTAATAAATCTTTTGTAGTGTTTGTATTTTGAAGGGTTCTTTCCTTTGGTGGTGATCTAACATGATTATTCATTGTTAATGAACTTGGTCACATTAAGTGTAATTTTCCTAAGTGTAAAAGCAACTTTCTTAAATGGCAAGAAATGTGGCTGACTCAATAGGAATAATGCACGGATATCTTGCAATAGATGAAAAGCCTTACCTTAACTATTAACAAATGTATCTTATTTGTGTATCAGTGGGCTGTAGATCCTCCAATCATCTCTGAATTCATGATGGCACTGTCCTTCCTTCTGGAGGGTGATTACTTTTGTTCCCCATGGTCCCTGTGTGTGTTGTAAAGTAGCCACCACTCCAAGCTCAATACCATTTCATGTTTAGTTAGCTAATTTGTATTGAAGTTATAGTCTATCAAGTCCAGCATCTGTGAAGGGGTGAGGGTGGGATAGGTCAGTAGAAAGGAGCCAAAAGGATATGTTCACTTTGTTTTAAAGTGCAATTAACCTTTAAAAGTTATCTTGGTTTTCTAGTTTTGTCTTAAGACCACAATGGGGAGATTTTTCCTCGGAGAGGTGGGGCGCTGAAGTCAGCGGCACTGGAAGGTACAGACAGCAATAAAAATTCAGAGGTTTTAATCACTCAAACTACAAACTTGTTTTTGTTTGTGCACCTGTTGGATAGATTTCCCATAATTTTTAGTCCTGACCAGACTACTGAGGAGAAATCCCCACAGGACACAGAAGATGATAAAACCTGAAAGAGGCTCTTAACCCTTCCCTGCTCTATAAAAGGCGAAATAAAAAGTTTTGCTGGAGTGGGGCTTTAAATGACAAGTTAATATATTACAGGTTTGTTTTTTATGGTTAAGAAATATATAAAGCCCGGTAACCCAGGGATACCAATGAGCTATTTTTAATAGTTCTCACTACAGAAAACAGATGTAGAATGAAATCTGATTGCCTGCCATGGATTACAAAAACTGATTTATCATCCATGCTTTTTATACTGCCTTATTTAGTAAGCCTGCTAATGCCCATCTAAACAAATATAACAAAAGAGTCAAGTATCTGTCCCGTGATATCTAGTACCTATACCTAATAATAACCCTACATACAGAAATTGATTTAAGTTTTACAGCTATGTTCCTGAAAATATTCCATTTTAAATAGACTAAAATTTAAAAAAAATTATTTTTTTTGTATATGACTAAAGAAATCAGAAAAAAATATGAAATATATCCGTCTGATGGCAGAGGCTCCCAGGTCGTCGGATAAAATATTAGGAGATTGTCATCCCCATAAAAGGTAAATATTTAACACATTTTGTGGTTCACTGCCACATCTTCGGATAATTAGTGTGACACAAGTTTGATGGCGGCTGATATGCACTAATATGCATAAGTGCTCAGCGGTGGGATCAAAGCATGCATCAATATTTACCTTTTAAGAAGTTGTTGATCTCTTGAGATTTTATTCTTCAACTTGGGCACCTTGGCACCATATACATTTTTTCCAGTTTCTTTGATCACACTATTCTAACATTTCTCAGTTTACGTGTAGGAGTAGAGTGGTTTTGAGCCAACCTGGAGCATCTGAACGCAACCATCTCCCCAAGGCCAGTGCGGAGACAGATCTATTCTCTGCGCTTTTCTTAGGTTTTGTACACCACCTCCGTGGACTCCGCAGCCTCACCAGATGTGTGCTTTTCATTCTTCACCTCTTTAGCCCTTTACTGCACTAATTGAATTTGCATCAAAATGTACTATACTATAAAGGCACTTCTGCCCTCTCTCTCCCATCTTTTTTTCTTCTACAAGCCCCTTTTCCTTGACATGTATCATAGTAGTATTTGTATGCATAGTTTTATTCCAACTGGCTTATTCATTGCATAAGCGGCTTTCAAAAAGTGTTATTGGTAAACAGAATGCTATACTTTTTGACTGACTTCAGAGTATGTACTCATTCCTGTCTAAACTAAGAATATCTAAAGCCATTTTTTTTTTTTTTCATTTTGGATAGAGTAGGATTTTTTTTCCACCATGAGTCTCATTAGTTAGATTTACCTTTTACTTCCTTTATGTTCTGGAAACACAAAAGGAAGCAACAGAAAATCTTCCAATATTGTTTTGAATTTACCTTACTTTGGAGAGATTTCCCTTGTATTGCTGTTCTGGTGACAACTCAAAACATTGGATTTTCCCCCCACTTTCCGACCAGGTGACAATGGTCATCAGAGTGGGTGAATCTCCCCAACTGGGGCACGGCAATAAAATCCTGAAAGGGGCTCTAATCGTTTCCTACTCCATCCAGAGCAAAGAAAATGTTTGGGGTTTACATACACTTGAACATTTGCACCACATTTTCAATGCTCACTAGAAGTGACTTGTATTTGTCTACCTAGAACTATGCATAACTTCTTTTTTATGATTTTGATTCTTCCCAGAAATCCATGGTCTTTACATTTTCAAACTATGCACCCGTGGCTGACAGATGTCAAGAAAAGACTTTACCAAAATTGTTTTTTGTTTTTTTTGTTGGTCACTTTTGCCCATGACATAAGGCTCGAGGTTTCTGTTCAATGGTTAAAAACAAACACTTAGCCAAGTCAAGCATGTATGTTTGTCATTTTCATTCTAAAGTTTAATCATTTGACAGTAAGATCTACCCACTGTAATTTCATGTCTGTGCACAGCTTGAGACCAGAGACTAAAATCCTTTCCTGATGCCTAGTCTAGTAGTCTCTGCTTGCTACAGTTTGGGACTGCAATACGTAACATGTCCATTGAAATGTAAATTTCCTAGTTAAGATTTTAGTGACCAATTCTGTGTTTAGAAATGTCTCTTACTGACATTTCCTTAGAACAGCAGCCATTGGTATGTTAATAGGCACCACTTTCACTCTTGTTAAAAACACTGGCAAAAGGCGATGTCTTTTCTTGCAAAAAGTACAGGCTATTTTGATGCAAGACACATTGCCATTTCTGCTTCTGCACTTTTTCCTACTTAAATGCAATCTAATAGAGCAATTTCCCTAGATATATTTATAGAGAGAGAAAAAGTAGCACTTGTATAGGAATCTTGTGCAGTTGTGCTCACCAATCCAAATGACCTTAACTTCTTTCTACAATTTATGTACAAATACAATATGGGATTTCAGCAATAAATACTCAATTTTTTCATGTTTTGTTGCAATTCTGCATTGTGGTGGTGTGCATTAGGTATAATGTTTTTAAAACTATGATGCCTTCATAAATGCAGGAAATTATTTATTTTAAAAAGCTATTTGTACAGCCACACTGATTCATTGTTCAAAACTGTAATATGAATATCTGAAATGGATGGGTTAAAGGAAACTTGAAGAGGAATTTTACCCATATCTTTAATATTGACCAATATTGAAGTATTGACCTCGTTAAATTATTTTTCTGGCTTCCCTCTCTGATCTTTGCACAGTGTCTCATGGCTGCTACCTCAATGATGGTTTCTACACATAGGAGCTAATTTATAAAGGCTTAGACCAACGTATACCTGGGTGAACGCGTTTCACACAGCAGTACTACCATTTAATATAATGTGTAATTTCTATGCTACTCGGCTCCATCTAGTAACAATAATGCAGGTTAATAACATGTAAATTCAGGTACTCACATTGTTTGTTTCTATTTTACATTTTTAAAATGTGTTGAAGGATTCATCAGTGAGCACAGAACTGCATTAATGTATTCTTTTGTATCTGCCGAGGAAGTCACATGGCTAAATTAAGAAAAGCATCCTTGTTTTCAGCACAAGGATAAGCATCTTTTTGGAATGAGCCGTACAGTTGTTACGGTTCTGATATATTAAAAGAGGAGAGAGGGTGAGCTATGTTCACCTCGATTATCCAATAACGTAAAAAGCTATTTTCTGTTTGTTCATTTTATCTGCAAATGGCTGGGTATTTAAAGTGAACACAACTACAAATTATCAGGTGGAGATTCACAATTCCTTTAGTAAATCAACTCCATATATTTAGTCTGGTAACCAGGTGTCTTTTAACTTGCATATAACTGGGTTTACCTTTAAAAATACCAAGATTTAGAAGACTCTACCCTTACATGAGCCCACTAACCAAAGTTGCCAATTAATGTATTTCGTCACTAAACTCCACTGATGCATCATGGTTAAAGTGTAAACAAACCTAAAATCTACTGTATGTTTGGCATCATGTCTTGCAATGTGCACTTTTCTCAAGCAAATTTTTGTTTTGTGAATCAGTGCAAACATTACTTCCTGGAAATCCTGGCAGTAACAGCACTTCTTATAGCAGGCTGATAATGTTAAGCCACTGCCTCAACATTAGCAGGAGCATTCTCAGCCTGCTGTGTGAGGTCATTCAGTTTGCCAATGGTCTACCTCTCTGACAGGCACAATAGGCAACCAACGGTCAGCTTTCCTGATGGTAGTCCCGTTCCAAAGCTTGTGTGAAGGGGTTACAATTCAGGAGCCCAATGGGAAGCATTGTCACCCTATAACAGAAAGGACCTTAACAGTTGTGAGCTTGTTTTTAAAAAAAAAGTTATCTACAGGCTCTGCTGTAGAAAATAGAAGTTACTCGAGTGTCTCAAAAGCCACCCAATTACTTGTATATGCTGCTTAAAGGTGCAGTGCAAAGGAGACATCAGGGGGTCTAACAGACCTTTGGGATGAATTGAAACACCAACATCAGTACCTGACTTCACAATGGGCACAAATTCCCAAAGACACACTTAATAATCTTGTGGACAGCCTACTTAGAAGAGTGGAGGATGTTAAAGATGCAAAGAGGGAACCAACTCTATATTTATGGCCATGGTTCTGGAATGGGATGTCCAACAAGCGCCATTACTGTAGGTGTAATGGTCAGCGGTACACAAGACATTTAACCATACAGTGTAAGCTGAATACTGTAAGAGAATACCACCACTGACCCTTAGTTCTCTGTAAATGCACTTTTATTGATTTCAAGAAGTTCACTTTTATTCTCATTAAGAAGCTGAACTAAGAAACTGTTGTATAAAACCTATTGGGGGAATTTATCAAAACTGTGGCAGACAGAATCTGGAGCAGTTGCCCATAGCAA